AAGAAATAGGTCGTTCTGAGCCTTGTAAGGGCAACAAGTACTAGAGGAACTTTTAAAGCTGTTTAAAAGGCTGTTATCGTAATCGAATGACAACCAGCGACACGAGGTAGTTACGTGCGTGTTTTAAAGATGCGCTTTTCTAGTTATGTAACGTTAATGTTTACCCAGTGCTTTGGAAAACCTCGTTCAAAATCACGCATTGTCAATAAATAAAAATAGCCAGACCCAAGTTGCTCGTAGCAATTTACTTTGCGTCAAATTCGGTTGAGAACTACGCAGAGAGACGTTAGAACTTGCTCGATTAGTCTAGCTGCACCATATAGTCCTTAACTTTTTAACTCGACGAGCCGATCAAATGACAACAGATAACTGATGGTGCTTTTGAGAGAAAACTAGAGGCTTGGAGCGTAAATAATGTATTCGTTTAGGACGAGATAGTATGCGAATGATACTACTAATATGTACGACATTAGATGTATTAAGCTGTTGTCAACAGTTTTCATTGCATGTCTGCGAGGCGACATGAGTATTATTCTTTGCCCTGCCCGCGTGTTGCGGCTTCGTTCCAATCTACCCTCTTTTGGTAAAGCATGCGAAGGGTTTGTGTAGTTTCTAGGTTGTCTATGATAATGGTTCCACTGTGCGGGAAAATGGCTAGATCCTTACTTCAGATGCTTCGCTTACTGTTATTACTTTTACTATCAGGGAAACTACAGCAGTAGAAGAATCAGCGTAGCTAGATTCTGGGAAGGGTAAATCAATGAAGATGCACGAAAAGGGCGACTTGACGTCCGCAGAACTCAGTTCAGGTGTCCCTTTGTCAACATAGCGAACGCGAGAAACCACGGGAGGGAACTGAAGATGTTTAAAACAACTGCCCATAGTAACTAAGTGGAGAGCAGCGCTTTCGCTATATTAGGAAAAATAGCATAGCCGGACCAATACTAGTGGGAGAATAAACCAGTTCGACTTCAATGAGCGATAACGGAATCATGACTGGCGTGAAGAACCGTGCAATGCTTGCTTGCATGGCGCACATGTCAAATCGTTGTACCGAATAAAACTCGATAGACGTTGAACCGGTGTACATACAATACACTGCGAACGAAAAAGAAGGAACATATGTCGATCTCGGTCAGCGGACCCAGGCGGATCCTCCTATCCCAGACAACAATAAGCGTGCTGCTTCAGGGGCACGAACTAAGCTTATCAGCAGCATAGGAAGGAGTTAGAAGGGCGTGCCGAGAGGGCGTGGAAGCAAAATAACGGCAGTAGATACCCTTTTCTCAGCCTGTGTCGTCTACCTAGTTGAGACTGTGGCTACCCTTTTTGCCTAAATCCGCGACGTCTGGTTACCGCATTCAAATGGGCCATTTTGGATTCTATGGGAGAACGACCACGGCCTTTACTGGTGTTCTGAGGGAATACGAAAGCTTACGAAGTCTGCGGCTATATCACTTTACAGCTCAAAACGGTAAAGGGGTAGGCGCCACATAGATACCAAGCTCTATCTATACACGTTCCACGTCAAGAAAAGCTCGTGGTGGATAGCCGAACGAGCGCAGGCGGAAAGGAAGGGAGGGACCAAGGATAAAGGTGTGGTAATTTGCTTGGTGTAAAAAGACGTGAGAACGTTGAACAGAGGCCAAGGCTGTGAGGTGCGAGTCGATAACGGGGTCAGCAGAAGGAGGAGTGTTGTATGTAAGGATGTACCATCCCCTCCAAGACGAGGCTGAGGGACGGCATACTGCCAGCGGCCATGTACGTGCTAAGTGCAGCAGTTCGAATAGGAGAACAGAGCTGGATGCGTTATTTTCATTACCTGTGCTGTTTTCGCACTTGTGGCGAAATACGTTATTCACCAAGACGAGTACTGCTAAAGGGCCTCGCTTCGCTTCACGATACCTCGTGGTACACCAACGTAGCAACAAGTGTCGTCCGAGCAGACTTCAGTGTTTCGTTAATGAGTTTCAGATAGTTGAGCACGTTACGCGAAAGCAAAGCCAGTCAATAAGTTTGGCTCGTATGGACGGCTTGAGTTTAAAGAACTTGGTGTTTTTCGATAAACCGAAGGTATATACCGAGCGTATGAGGATAGAGGCGTTAACTAAATAAAATATGATTTTCATTGAACTAAACACACCGTCCTGTTTCTCGCTATCTCCCCAACGCAAAGTCGATTCAAGATTCCGAAAGACCACTTATCGTCAAAGGCATCGAACTATTTTTGCTTATTCTTTTGTTATTGGTTGAGGTACCGTAGACAGACCACATCATCGGAAGTACAAAAACATCCCCTCATTGCTCATCTCTTCGTGAGTTTTTTTCTAAACAGATTTGTGTTTGAATAGAACAGATTGTCGAATATTTATACGAAGATGGGCAACCTCTTGTGTAGTCGCCATAGAATCTAAAGTTTGGTATAGGCTGTAGTATTGTTTTTCGGTGTTAGCTAGTAGAATCTAGCCGAAAAAGTACGAAGATTATGCTGTCATTGATTTTAATTGATAAAAACCTCTCACAGCTCGATGTAGGCATTGCGGACCAGGTTTAACTGGACGTTTTCGGACATAGTATCTTAGCGTTTACGTTTAGTCCACCCGTAGCTACAGGACCCAACACCATATCGGCAGCCACGATGGCTGATGAGTGACGGACGGGTGATGTATTATTGGCGGACTTTGGCCAATAACACAAGAATTCTTGTACCGTCTGTTTCTCGACCAGAGAAATTATTGATAAAATTATACCATACCTCACCTCGACAAAAAGAGAAAGCAGTTATCGTCGTTGTACACGTAAGAGTGCTGGCCACGTATATGAGAGAAAATTATACATTCACACAATGAATAAGTACATTGCTACTAGCTTAATAAGAAAACGTAATAGTTCATTTCGCTTGGAAAGTTTTTGGCCAAAAGTGTGTAAATAGAAAACAAAAGAAAATTTGATCTGATGAAAAAATCATATCTTAATGTAGGAATTACTTCTAAATAGAAACGGTTTTATGATTTGTTTCAATAGAGATATAATCTCTTTTGCTTTGTTAATCAACCTAACAAAGGACGCCGCATGGAGTATCTTCACAGACAAACAGCACAAAAAGAGCACATAGGAAATTTGTGACAATTTCCCACTGTGTCTGAATTTTTCATTTTTTCAAAAAATTGCTTCGTGCGTCTCGTCTTGCGTTTGCGTTCTCTGCTGCTTAACTAGGCAGGAGGACCAATGGACGCCAACGCTATCATCGCCTCCATGTCACACCGTAACGAGCTGTATGTAAACATTTTGGTGACAGTAGCAAAAAGCAGCAGTATCCGAATTGAGCGAATACTGCGCCAGTCTATATAGTTCTATAGTTGGCAACCATCTATGTTCTACGATACAGATAGCTCTAAGTCGAAGCTGATCATGGGTCCTTTGATCCGATTGTGACTTGCTCTGACCCATGTCAGTGTAACGGCAAGTGCGCCGACCGACTTTTGTCACTCGTCGGATTACTCGTCCGGCTGCTGCCGATTCGGCTGCAAATACGAAACAGCCGGTCGAGGCAGAGCTGTTTTCGCTGCTGTTGCCATCTATTACGTTGCGGCGATAGTATTCGTAGCTAGAAACCATGGAAAATAGAATGACGAGGCGACATCTAGGAGAATAGAGAGCCGTATTGCTGGTAGAATCAGCTGCAGCTTGAGACTGCAGGCGCCACAGTATTATATTGCCGTATTACCAACGCTGGGCGGAAGGCCAATGCGCAAAAGCTGAAAAAGGAAAATACGAATTCGTTTTCTCGCTAACGCCAAAATCAGTTCTGTGCGTTTTCCTGTTGTTCTGCATTCTGCTGAACTGATTCAGCTTCTGATCCAAGCTGTGCCATGTGATGTAATAATGGCAGGACCACCGAGTGCCCGTTTGTTCGTGTGTTCTTGAAAACTGAGCATTCGAAAACGAGAAGACCATCTCTCTATGGGTCAATGTGCTGTTGTACGCCCATGTGTCTGTCTGCCTGTTCGTTATGTCAGAGCAGCGGTGGCAGGGGGTAGTAACATCAGATTTATTAGGATTTCTGCTAGCCCCACCGCTGCTACCAACTCTGCTTTGCGTCCTTTTTTTCGATAGGGTGGGGAGGCAAACTGGAGAAAGCAGGGGACTGTTGATAAAAGTGAATTGGGCGCAGAGAGCTGCTGTTGTTGTTAGTATTTTCGTTGCTGAGGCGCCCGTCGCTACTGCTGCTGGCGCCGGAACTATCGCACTCGTGATAAATTGTCTGCGTCGTTGCGGCTCTCTCATTTGTCAGGATATTTCTCTGGTGCTCTCCTCTTATAGCCTGCTTTGCTGAACCCCACAATCCGTGCTGACGGCCCCAATGTCAGACTTGGTGGTATGCCTCTTCCTTAGCAGATATTGTTAGGCAAAATGCGAGAAAGATAGGTCTCAGAGTAAGACGAAAACAAAAATAAAACAGTAATAAGATACAAAAAAAGTAGCTTGAAAAAGCGTAGATGCATCAATCCCAATGACAACGATGATGGCAATATTAAAAATAATAGCATTGATAGCAGGCATTGGCTGAAAGAACGTGTACATTTTTACAAAACGTTTACATTTATAAAAAAAAAAATACATAAGCGACTTGTACAGTAGTTACAGAAGTTACAACTTCAACCTTTCTAGAAATGAAAGTGAAACCATGCCTATTCTCAGAATGAATCAAGCGTAAAATAAATTTCAGTTTCCTTTCTGTCAAACATTCGTCATATAGCCATACGAGAGACAAACGAATATGGTGTTGGAGTTTTTGCTAGAATGTTTTTCCTTCTGCTAAAAATAGGCTTACCTCAGGTCTCGATGCACAGCTCTTCCTTTAGTTCAATTGACAACAGTCTACATACTGTTGGTCTAGTATTATATAATAATTGCTACGTGCGTAACTGGCCATTCGTCCGGGATGAGTCACGCTAAAACGATACGTCTTTTTCACGTTTTCTTTTTTCTGAATTTAGGGAAACGGAGTGTTGTCGCCGACGCAGCTGCATCACAACGAAACTGCGATTTCTCCCGTCGCTGCTGATGCCGGCGTCTTGTTTTTACTGCTGCTGCCATTCTGAGTAGCAGGAGATCTCTAGCAGAGCTCCCCGCAGATGGTGGAGCTATGTGGTTTCAACAAATGTAACTATCAAGACAATGACTCCATTGAGAGTCATGTAGATGATCATATCAACTTCGCACCTATACCCCAAGGCGGGTAATATGATGGTGGGGTTGCCCGCCATTTAAGGCCACCATTTAGGACAGCTAATTAGAGGAAGTGAATCGCGGGCGCGGCCAGTAACGCCGGGAAGAAAGGCCGATGCTGGAACACTGGATACGCCGGCGCAGCAGGGCGCTGTTTGGTGTATGCGCCTTTACGACATTCATTCTATTTTGCCTTAAATATGTTTACCTGGGCGAACTCGAAATACCCAACGGGGGCATTGCAGGCGGGCCCGGGGCCCGCACTCGACTTCTTGATCTGCCGCTGGTGCCACAGTTACCGCAGAGGGTTGCTGACGAAAACATGGTGGCGTATGAACAGATGCAGCCCGAAACAGCTGACAGTGAACGAGTTCGTTTTTACATGACTCGCCGTAGCGATGTCATGGTCTTCTTGCACATTCAAAAAACCGGTGGTACCGTATTTGAGCGACACCTCATTAAAGACCTTGACATCGAACATCCGTGTGTACCTGGGCCTGGGCGAAAAAGGTGAGTTTCTTGAATGAGAGTGAAATTAATATATATATATATATATATCTACTTATCTACAATATACTTAAATTCTTAGTTATATACTTGCATTATATGGGCTCCGATACACATTCTGTTATTATTAGTGAATAGGAGTTGCAGGACGATCCCGTACCGTAGAGTTGACAACAGTGGTGCCATAAGTATTACCTAACTAAGGCTTTCGTCGTGTGAATACTCTAGGGTTAGTAGGGGTAATAATAATTATTTTGCGTAGTAATCTTGTGAGCAAGCCGCCCATAAAAAAAACAGAGCCATGTTAGCACCTTTATTTATTGCACACAAATAAACATTACGAAGACGTGATCAGAAACATTTGTTACGTACACTAGGGGTCGACACGGTCAAAACCATCTTGGTATATTTCGGATAGAAGGTATAATGACGCTCAGGCTGAATAAATTGTTCTAAAGACAACTGGACTCTGTTACTGGTGATGCATTTTATGAACGAAACACCTTTCAGCGGTGCTTCTCTCTCTGCCTTCTCTTGTGAATCAAGCGACCAATTTGTAACATATCAGTTCTCTACATTAGCACTATCTACATATGATTTTTATAACACATAAGGACAGGTGATTGAGGTATTCAGCTGTGACAGCTAAGTTTGTCTGGGTAAATGTGAAAACGTATCGTTAACCGACTGCTCGTTCTCACGCTAGTTTCACAGGCTTTTTTCATGTTAGGTTATTGCTGGACCTAGAAAGCCAGTAGAGAAACTACCCAGTAAGTTGACGCATGCTTACATAATACGAAATACATAATACATATAATTTAAAACAGCAATTGAACTAGCGTGCTTTTGTGGGACTAAGCGTAGGTCTCGTTATATAGCACTATTCCTAACATAAACGTAAGGGAAACTGGGTTTGGGTCAATGGTTGCTCTAGAATGTTCTCACTGTCCTTTGTTGTGAATATAATTAGTGTAGAAATTTTTCAATTGGCAGTGACCTGCACCGACGGTATTTACGTGCTCAAAATGATCTCCAACACTACATCCAGTTCCCCCGCATTATCACGGAGAGTCAAATTCTACTACGGGACGTAAATAGTATTACAGTTCTTCTATTATTGAAAATTTCCGACTTAGCGTATTCTGCTAGGTTGTTTTGGTTCGTAGATAGTGAGTTATCATGTCACGTTGAATGATACTTGTAGATAGATAGCGAGGGCGCAAAAAAATGCATCAAGTACGTGACAATGGCAAACTCAGTGGCAGCGGTGAAACTGGCAGACGATTGGCCTGATTGCAAAGCTGTCGGTCTCCATGTTGCTTTTTCTATTCTCTACTACACATTACCTATTAAGTTATCTATCGCTAATGGTCTATTGATGATGTAGGTATGAGCAGCTCTAGCGAGCACTTTCTTGCTACCTTTTTCCTTCGTGTTTTTCTATTTAATCTATTCTCAACATAGACGTGACTGTTGTTCGTTGCGTAGTATGACAAGTCGTCCATCCATTCGTTATTTTATATTTGCTGTCCACTTGTTGTTGTCCGAGCCGGCGTGATGACTGCTGCCAGTTACGATTGAGCTCCTCAAGCGAGAAAACATCGAGGAACCGTGTGGCACTCCGCGTAACATTGCTCGCATCACCCATCGTGTGACCCCTAGAGTAAGGCTAATGCCCGGTAGGGTTTAATGGTAGAGCGAGTAAAATGACAAAAACCAGCGCCAAATGGAGGAAGCGAAGACGAAAAAAGGAGCCAGTTTCCCTAACGAAAGAAATTCGGCTACCTCACACTTTATGATGCGTTCATCCGCTCTACGACTGTCCAACTCACGTACGGTAGCTGGCTGGCTAACTGGCAGAGCGGGATAGATGACGGTTTTAATCGACGGTCAAGTTAACGACTGTTTTATGGAATAGACCGGGTCTGTTCAACTCGTCTAGGGAAAAAGAATTCTTATTCGAAAACAACACAGCTGTTGAAGTTCTTACTTCTTTAGATTCGCGACGGGTTTGAGGTACGTACAGGTTGGGAGCACCGCCAGTCAGCTGTTCTACTTGTGGTGAAATAATCTACAGCCCCATATCTAGGTTCCGTGCTTCCTATGAACGCAGAGTGAAATAAGCCCCGCTATGGACGAGCTAATTGTGGTCTTAGAGTACAGTTACGGCAGAAGCATTATCACGTTTAGCTATACAAAGTTCCAGAGCAACATTTTATTCTGAGTAAGTTCGTTGTTCTGCGACGCACCTTGATCTTGACAAAGTGAAACTTATTCGAATAATTCGTTTTACGATCAGAAGCAAGTTGAAAGTGTCGGTTTTTATTTCCTGATGTTCCAGATGTTTGGCCACATAAACCTTTTTACTTGATTCAGAAGACTAGTCGTGCTTACAATTGTACGCCACGCATTTCAGTAAGCTTGTTTCCAAAACCTGCCAAATGTGATAACTTTCGCGGGTAAAGGCTTTTCTTTTAATTCTAACATGCATTGGTCTCACCAAGTATCGAGTCGGTGCCAATCAATCAGTTATTATTACCCACCTAATCAGCTTAACAGGTTTAATACGTCAAAAAATAATTATATCGTGCAGAAAGCCTATTGTTCCAGTGCTCTCGTTAAAACGTGAACTAGCGAGGCGAATGTTTAATATGTTCTATGGTGCTCTTAGTAGCTTGCGTAGGCTATTTAGGTTGAAACTGACTTTTTCGTTTTCATTTATAAACAGTGAAAAAAATCCTCGAAGCCCCTCAGCAGTGCGATTTGGAGGGCAAGTTCAGAAGACGAATCATGCATTGTGCATCAACGAAGAACCAGCCAGTTGAAGGTATTATACCATAGTATGGCAGACTTCTTACAAGGCTGCGAAGCCTGGCCGGCGACGTACTCTTGCGGTTCTTGTTGATGATACACTCCTGCTCCCTAGCACGTAGTATTTTTATAGCAGAAGTCTAAACGGACGGCAGCAATGGCGAGTAGTAGTAGTAGTAGTAGCAGCGGGTGGCAGAACTTCAATGCCGGAGCTGACAGGGCGTGGAAAGGGAGCCATGAAAATCAGAACAACACCGTCCTAGTTTAGGGCATCAAAAATATACATAAAGAAATATAGTTCCGTAGAGACCGCAATACAACATTTGCCGGCCTTGTCCGCGTGTCGATCTATTTACCCAGCAAGGCTGAAAACTTAGCTCAGTATCCAATGCGAAGTGTATACTTCCGTTTGGCTCGATATTCGATCAATAAATAGGCAATTCTTCCGTTTCTTTCACACCCCTCACCTCATAAGCTGCTTCGTATCCTTAGTAACTTTACGGTTCACTCATATTATCATTATTGTTATTATTATTTTGGATACAGATTATTTTGGACGGCAATATTGCGTAATATTCTATTATAACTAAACCTGGGGATGTTATCTTTTCGTTCTGTAGCTTGTATTCTGCAGCAATCTGTGATGTCGCTCCACTCCCTTTAGCAAGCATCTTACACTTTATTGCTTAGATTCGCAAAATAAATTGGGCATCAGCGATCATTTTAACCGTAGAATATTGTCAGCTATGCTACAGATACTTACAGCATTATATTTGTGAGCATCGTCCTACGAACGGCTGTGTTCTCCTTTGAATGTATAACAAAACACGACAGGTTGAAGAGCTTTGCTGTCTCTCTAAGATCCGCCTTCTGGGCGACAGCGGTGTTTGATCCCCATTTTTCCCCTAGTCTCTCCCACGGGTTATGTGAATGATGGCAAGGTATAATTGAATTCACCGTTTGCTTCCATCAACCCTTGTCCTATATAGTTACGGTTAACTTTCTCCCTCACCGCAACAATTAGGAATGAATGTTGTCGGCTCATTGTCAGCGTACACTGAGCTGTCCTTGAAGCAGCATTATAGAGGCCTGTGAGTCCTGCAATCGCCGTCTGAGTTTTTCACCGACGTCTTTTCCTCTAGCTAATCGTGCCACACGAAAACAAAAGTCCATTTCCGATTTCTGATGTATACGCGTCTATAAGGCTTCCTGAATTTGGCGGAATAACAATAGGTGAGTCGTCCTTATTTTCGGTGAAAAACTGCGACCCAGGAGATTTCAAAGAGTAGAATATGACAGTATAATCTTCGTGAGATATGAGCCGTGAGAGAAGATACCCTGGGGGGATCTGCGTTTCGAACTCTGGAGAGCAGAAGCGGCTACGTTCCGGTGTTCACGAAGATGAGGAAGGAGAGAAAAAGAAAGGGGCGACCGGTTGGTCGTGAGAGAAAAACGAGTTGAAAATCTCTAACCATGGGAGACCATGAAGGCGACACACAGTAAATAGATACATGAATAGACGAGCACAACGTCGACTTGACTTCAGCGCGTATCGAAAGAAAAGGCCAGACTAAATATACATTAAGTCAAACAATGCAAAATACTATGGAATTTCAAAAGATCTTGTTTATTATATTCCTTTTAGTTTTATAGTGGAATAGTTTTTCAACGCGAAACTCATTGAAGTGAGCGCTGGCGTCCCAAAGCAACCGTGTTGAAACTGGTGATGATAAAAAGTTGAAAAAAATTATTAAATCAATTTATCAGGATGCATGAACGCTGACAGCTTGAGTTTTGAAAATTTCAATTCTGATGGAGCATCAATGTATCAATGACGTTTCGTTATTTGCTGACGCTCGCTGAGTGCTATGATACATGCAAGCAGCGCGCAGTGTAAGCCTTAAGGTAGGCATTCAAAATTAACCCTTGTCGTATTATGGGTCCCCAGCAGCCTACGGGATTGTTAGTTGAGCACACTTTGTTTACCCGCAATAGGATGACGTTATAGTAGTTTTTGACGTTTGACGAGATCGATCGCAGGATCCCGATAGAACTGGTAAAGGTGGGCACGTAAACGAAAGCTGGTAAAAATGATTTCGTAAAGGGTTTACATCAAATGAAACCTGCTGTAGGTTATGCGAACTGATTCATATCGACAATATGTCTAGATAGAATAATGTCTAGATATAAAT